GAGACTGGGTTGTGTCGCAGCACTGAACTACCCCTTAACTTTAAGTCGCCTAAAGGAACCATCTAAACATATTAAAGCATGTTCTTGTTTGGCACAGCCCAGTGACTCGATCTATGGGTCTGATGAACTGCAAGCGCCGGAAGACCATAAAGCCGTGAAGTTCCGAAATGATGCCCCTATGCGATAGCGGGAGGGGGGGGGTATGCCCCTAGGTAGTCTTACGCTATCGCACTATCACTGTTAAGTAAGCAACTTTAGCGTTCTCGCTGGTAAATCCGGTGTAAGCAGTGAAAAGGATATTTACTGAATGTGATTCGATACAACTAAGTGAACACAGTGCTCGGTTAAGCGTGACGTATCTCCCAGCATTTTACTCCGTTCCTCATTTTACCTGATGACCGGCACCTTCTAGCGCTGCTGTGTCCGACATCGTAGCAAATTGAGCAACTAAGCCAAAGTAGTTACGCTGTCCTCCTCACCGGAAATTCCTACGCAACCGATCTATCACAAGAAACATTATTCATAGTCGAGAGAAGGTGTAAGATGAGTAGGAATAGTGCGAAGCTAAATACGTGCAGCGTGTTCGACGTATCGACATAATAAAAAATGGCCTTCCAATAAATGAGCAGCTCACCGATCAGATCACTGCAACAAAGAATGATCTATTCGAGGTGTACTTTGTCTTTAAAAAGAAAGATGCTAAACAATAAAACAGATGTCATTAATGACAAAACTAAGTTTTTCAAAGTAATTTTTATAGCTCAAAAATTGTTCCTTCTCAAGGACCATGAATTATGGGAATTCGTAATGGCATTCTAGGTCGCTGGAACCAAAGTGTCAAAATAATTTGACCAGTGTAATGGCGGTCAAATGACACATAACCAGTATTTTAAGCAATAAAAAAATCTATCAAAGCGAATATTTGTTACTTAACTTTGGCTTCGTTCCTTCACGTCCTATGCGGCACGATTATTGGCACACTGGTAAAGAGATCGACTTCGAACCAGTGGTGTTGGGTTCGATTCCAGGAAATAGTCGGTCTTTGCCTCAACCGCAAGTTTTCTTAAACGAGGAACTGGCTGCACCTTGTTTCGGGTGTAAACAGCCGAGAATCGAGTAACGGCAGAGGTAGCATGACATTCTGTTGTGGTCACATTCCAGAATGGGTGATAGGTACGGTCACTCTGTCTGATGCGAACGGGGCTTCATAAGGCTGTAGTTCTTCATGATAATCGGCAAAGGATGTAACCCATATTGTTGTTTGTTTATTGTAAACAAATGGACACATTCCGTACTTAGTGATGCGGCTCAGTCCTGACCAAAATTGCAGTTAAACTCGGTTTAGAATCAGAGAATGTGAAACAGTTTTTCGAGAACTTTTTTTCACCTAGAACTGAAATCTTTTAAAATCGATTGAGAAATTCTGAGGCAACTGCTCATTACAAGCTTACAATCCAGGCAACTGCCTGAGTTCCATCGATCATGTTGACTCCTGAAATCGAGAGAACTGCTCAGCAAAGGGGATACTGGTCGTTTTTTGACAGTCTGGAGCAGACTGTATGACAGACAGCTTTTCATGACAGGAGATCGGCTTTCATGAGTGGCCATGTCCAACAAATATATAAAACAACACTGCCGGTAGGACGGTAGAATTGGAATGGTCGGCTGCCGAGGAGGAATAACAAAGCGTGTTTTAAAGGAGCATGAATATTCAAGGAACTCAAGAAACAGATCTTACACTTACAGTACGGTTACAACCCATAAGCCTGAATTATAAAGCGATTCATGCATTTTTTGCTAATCATCGTCCGTTGGTAACAAAGGAACGACTCTGGTTTACGGTCTCGGTGTATGTCCAGGTTTATCAGCAATATTTCCACGAGGCGGCGATTTTTTGAGTAATTTTAATTTAAACTATTCCCCCCCCCCACACACACACTCACTCAAATGTGTCTCACTGTTTTTTCCTCCATCTCGCGTGTCTCCCTTTTCTTCGGCTGTCTGATACATTGCAACATGAAAAAATCGCCATGATGATTCTCGTCTGACCAATCTGCCTTATTCGACAATACTTCCTTGCCTAATCGTTATAGCTATTAGACATACTCGTGCCTTGTGGAGAATAAGGTCACTTTTTGTGGTCTTGCAATTAGCGATCATCATGCATCGAAGAGAGCGCATTATACTCCACTGATGTCATGATCATTCAGCTGCAGCCTGTGCAAACCGCTGTACTTCATGACGATTGGCATTCGGAAGACCAGACTTGGCATAAAAGGCGGACAGCAAGACGTTGCGCAAAGAACACTCGACAAAATCCAGTATTTCGTAGTAATGATTTTCAGAATTCATCAGGGTCATCCTTTCGAAGTTCCGGTTCCGTGAGCTAAAGCGCTTCTGCTTATGCCGCTTTCCACTAACACTCGTGTCATTCTCTCACAAGTAAATTCGCTACCTCAACTGGACCATGAAAACACCCTCAGTTTATATGGCTTCGTTTGTTTTCTCGTTGGCCGTCCAGGAGGACTCTGATTTGCTGATCAGAATCCATTTTCATACTACTTGTCTCGCTGCTTAGAATTTGTTTATTTGTTATATCAAAATTTCGACAACGTACTGTGTATCGATGGCCGCTTCGCCATATTTTGAAA